TTTTTTTTTTTTTTTTTTTTAGGTGTAATCCATACTGATGATGTCTGTAAATTCTTCAAGTCTTCTTCTCTTTCAGCAAACAAGGTGTGTCATCTGCAAGTCACAGGTTATTAATGATTCTTTCAGCAATCCTGATGCCACATTCTGCTTGATATAGTCCAGCTTCTCAGATGATTTGTTTATCTTAGAGATTGAATAAATGTGGTGAAAGGGTCCAACCATGATGTATACCATTTCTGATTTTAAACTACAAGTATCCCTTTGTTCATGTTGAATGATTGCCCACTGGTCTATGTATTGGTTCCCATAAGCAAAATTAAATGTTCTGGAATTCCCATTTCTTGTAATTTTGTCCATTATTTGTTGTGATCCACACAGTCAAATGCCTTTTCATAGTCAATAAAACATAGGTAAATGTCTTCCTGGAATTCTCTGCTTTCTGCCCAAATCCATCTAATATCAGCAGTGATATCCCTCATTGCATGTCCCCTTCTGAATCTGGCTTGAATTTCCAACACTTTCCTGTTGATGTAAAACTGCAACTGTTTTTGAATTACCTTCACTGTAATTTTACTTATGTGTGATATTGTTCAGTAATTTCCACATTCTATTGTGGAATGGGCAGAGATGTGGATCTCTTCAGTTGGATAGGTAGGTGTTGTCCAAATTTTTTGGTATGGATGAATGAGCACTTCCAGCATTTCATCTGTTTGTTGAAACATCTCAGTTGGTATTCCATCAGTTCCTAGAGCTTTATTTTTCATCAGTGCCTCCAGTGCAGTTTGGATTTCTTCATTCAGCACCATCAGTTCTTACTCATATGCTACCTTCTGAAATGTCTGAATGTTGACTGATTCTTTTTGTTACAGTGACTTTGTATATTCCTTCTATCTTCTTTTGATGTTTCCTGAGTCATTCTATATTTTGCCCTAGAATCTTTCATTAATGCAACTTGAGACTTAAATTTTTTCTTTAGTTCTTTCAGCTTGAGAAATTTCTGAGTATGTTCTTCCCCTTTAGTTTTCTAACTCCATGTCTTTGCATATTTCATTATGAAGGTTTACTTT